GGGGGGGGGGGGGGTCACCCGTCCCCCCCTTGATTTGTTTCGGACGCAAAGTGAGGAACTCTCCAGTTCGTCTCTGTGGTTAACTTCATAAACGCACAAACTGTTTGGGGTCTACGCTGGTATAATTGACCTTTTTACGGAAGCTTGATTGATGTGTTGAGCAGGAGAACATCACAGACACAGGGAAGAGGCAAGAATGAAGAAGCAAAGAAGGCAAAAATACTTTTCCGAAGCGATCCTGATAACTCACTTTTGAACACATGTACAGAATCATTTGCAAACTGGTTCTTTCGCCCTGTCCAGAACACCCTGCCAGGCTGCTGCTGGAATTGGTGCAGGAGGAACTTCCAGTTCTTGCAGCTGATTCGATCCAGAAAAGAAAAAGAGATGACAACGACGTTTTTCATCTTCGGCTAACCTCAAGATTTCCAAAACTGCAGCTTTTGCAATCGCTTCCTCTTTTCCTGCCATACTTCTGGAGGTATCTACACAGCAAATCAATGGCCCTCGTTCCGAACCAGGACGAAACTCCCGCCAGCTGAGACTCCTTGCTTTTTCCTCCATCCAGCCACTACGTTCGTAGCTCAATAGTGACGCCTCAGCTCTGCGAAGTCGATGAAGTGCTTTGGCTCCCGTCGAGTTGGCTCGCTTAGAATTTGCATAGGCTATCAAAGACAACTCGCCAGGCAGCAATACATGACATTGCCCGTCTGAGCGAGTAATCCCAGACGTCTCGGATGGCATCCGGGGAGACCGGACGATGCCTTCGCCAGCATTGGACTTCTCCCTCTGTGCCAAATCAAAACGCAGTCGAGATTTCAAGCCTGCTCTGCGCCCCATTTTCCGAATCAAATCCTGCAACTCCGGCAAGCACCCAAGGAGTTCTTGATACAAATGATAGTGATCCCAAGAACTTGGAGTTGACACTGCAGAATCTCTCAAATCTGATTCACCAAGCTGAACAGCAATTCCACCTGCTGTGGGAGCACCATCCCTCCTTGAAACGAACGACGACTTCGAAGAGCTGGACGAATTCAACTCCTTTTCTGTAGCATCAGGCCGGCTTTCCACGTCGTCCTGCACTTGTGCCTGCGCTCTTTGGTCTTGGGACTTTTGAGGCTCGTGTCCGCCTTGACCTTGCACAGCTTGGGTCTGGGATGACATGTCCTCTATCGAAGCGAATTGTTTGGGGTCATTGGCTGAAGCTTGTGCATTCCTCGCTGTATCAGCAGTTGGACGGCCAGTGATCTCTCCTGAATCTTCAGAAGTGTCAGAAGGAGGAGTGGCATCCTCGCTTGAAAAATTAAACCCGAAGGGTAGCTGCAGTCCGCCTCCATCAGCTTCGTCTGGATCATCAGAGTACTTGGCATCTACGCTGCTTCGCTCGACTAGTTCAAGAATGTTCAACAGAACTGTGTCTATGAGTTTTGGGCATTTCATGACAAAGGCGCTAAGCTCAAGATCGTTGATTGCCGCACGGACTCTCATGCCAAGAGGTTCAGGAGGCCACAAAGTTTTGTCCAAAGTTGCGCCTGATAACAGAGCTGATCGCCAGCTCTGCAGCGCCGAGACCACCTCTGTGGCTTCGGACAAAGTGCATAGACGTCCAAGTGAACTCTGGAAAGCTGAGCTCAAGTCAGAGTTGGAAAACTCCTCAGGCAACTTAGAATGAACTTTAGATTGTTCAGAACCCGTATTCACCCCCGTCTTTCTGTTGGCTCTTCGTGTCACCCCCTTCAACCGCTGCAGCAAGCAGGCCGAAACTGTGATGGCAGTTGTCAGAGAATAACAAGTAGGTATGTTGAAAATAGCAGGTAATGCAGTGCCTTGATTGCACGCGAAAGGTTCGGAATTCAAAACACCTTCTGTGTAGGTCGTAGAGGGCTCCAAACTGCCTGGTCTGAAGCTCCATCGCCGCAAAGGTCGTGAAGCAAAGTGCGGCAGCAGGAGACCGTCACATGTGCTACGCATAGTTTTGTATCGCCACTATTTGCTGATCAGAAGACCAAATGGCAACGGAGTGAGACCCAGCCAACAAATCGCCACTGCCGTGCTTCAACAAACCCCCACAAAGCAAGGCCTCCTTGCAATCGCCTGTTTGGTCATGTTTGAATGGCAGCTGTGAACTGGATTCCTTCATGATGCACCACAAATCTGCCAGTTTAACGTGTAAAAATGCGCCTATGTCTTCTCAATTTCCTGCAGAATGATGAGGATAGCGAGGCCTCACAGCATGGTCACCCAATGACTGGCACCAAGAACAAGCGATTCAATAATCAGAATGCAAGGAGTACTTGAGAAGATAATAGCGACATGCTAATCACGAAGGAAAGTTCGACCTCTTTGGCGGTGAAGACAAGTACGAAGACGTCAAAGCAGTGCGACTTGCTTTGCGTTTTTTTGGCCCTGCACCATCTCGCCTTACTGGACCAACAGAGCGCCGGCGAAAAGACAAAAGCCTGTTCCAAACACAACGCAAAAGCTCTTGGACTCAGGCCCCCACCGGCAAAACATTGTGGCCACATGGAAAGGAAATGTGTGATAGCATGTAAAAAAATAAAAAGAAAAAGACACCCCACAGCGTGCCGCTAATCGTTGATAACTTTTGATGAAGTTTAATTTCAAAACCACCAATGCCCTGCCTGCTGGTGGCACCTTTTACATTCTGCGATCTCTCCTCCATCCCCAGTTGTCAAGCCAAAATGTTGCGAAGAATTCAGCTTTGAAGCGCTTCATGCGATGTTCGGTCCAAATCAAGATCCAAATGCATCAAGACCCAAGGCGCTCAAGCCTGAAACCCTACCAATCTCACAAGAACCTACAAACTCCATGTGTATTCGCCAAGCCCTTTGTGTCGAGTGGCGTTGAGTGCTTCTCAAGGAAAAGCCAAGCAAAAGTAGAATGACAATAAAAGGTAACCCATTTTGTATAATCCAAGAAATTTTGAACAGAATCTTCCAAGTTAGAAAAGTTGCAGTTGGCGTGCGCAACATCGTGCGCTCATTGAAACAAAGGGCCGTCACAAACAGAATGGTTGTGTGGAAAAGTGAGTTGCGGGAGATATGTGGGACGATTGCGGGAGTGTGCCCAAGCAAACTCTGGTTGCTCTACACTGTCAGGCTGTCAGGGCTGCACGAGGAATAACTGGCGACTTTGTAGCACAAATGTAGCACCGGCAGCAGCAGGTTTTGGCAGTACGACTACGACTACGACTACGACCACGACGACCTACTACTACTACTACTCCTACTACTACTCCTCCTCCTCCTACTACTACTACTCCTACTACTACTACTACTCCTACTACTCCTACTCCTACTCCTACTCCTACTCCTACTCCTACTCCTACTGCTACTACTACTACTACTATATACTACTCCGCACTCTAGTAGCATCAAAGATCTCAACGTCCTGGCTTGAAGATGAATGGAAGGAGGTGCGAAGGGAAGACAGAAGTGACAAGTAGAAAGTGTTGCAGTAGTCCTGCAAAGACCAGAGAAGCTCGGCGTGTCTGTCAAATGTCTGCGGTTTGCCGGCCTAGAGACGAAAAATATCAAACATAACATGTTCAATCAAGGTTTCAGGTGTCCAAAACAACAAAAAGCTGTAAAAAAAACCTGTATTCAATCAAGAAAGACTGAAAGATTCTCACATTTGTCTGCACCACACAGGAGTCGCTACTTCAGACTTTTCCGCACACCCCAAATCATGAGCTGCAGTCATGGACACAAGTTCAAGTGTCCATCGCCTGTATTCAAGCTCACATCCCCCATGCAAAGTTTTAGTGTTGCAGGGTCTGCAAGAATCAAGCCAAATTTCCCGTACTTCAGTACTTCAGTTTAAATCGTGTGTTTCGCAAAGCCATCTCAACCCTGCAAAATCGTGCCAGTAATATAGTAATGAATTCGTTGTAAAGCGCACTGGATTCCACCCTCAGGCGACTCGGCTGCGCTTCGCCCCAGCCTGAGGGACATTAGAATCTCATTAGGAACATTTGTTGTGTCGCTGCCGAATAGAGCCCTTTTGAAATTGAATCTGGCCGAACGTACAAACATACTGCAGCTGGCCCGTCATAGTAAGCTGTGGCTCTGCTCAATTCTATCAGTACACTCCTACTGCATGAAACCCTTTGTAACCACAACAACTTTTCCTACTATGGTAAACGTGCTCCATCGGCCTGCGCAATATCGTCCAAGAAAGCTGTAGCCTGACTGGCATGAGTGAAGAGAGAGAGAGAGAGAGAAAAAAAAATGGGACTCTAAATAGAACCATTTGTGCGGGGTTCAATATGGACCTACGGCCAGTAACTAATCTAGTAGACAGGATAGTATCTTCCTGTTCCTATTGATGTATTGGGTCCACTTCCACCTCTCCCCTCTGTCGATTCTGCCTATTCAATCTACGTATATATATATACATATTCAAACTCTATGGTTCTCCAACTTCCCTTGCAGCCTCACTACCACGTGCATCCACAGCCAATTGGCCTTCAGTGACTGAAAGACTCAGGCGTTTGCGTCTATTCTCGTCACTCGACACCCTTATGCACTGTCGAAACAAAGAGAGTCTGAGTGAGGTCCGGACTCTGGCGAAATTGTCTCTGGACATCGGCGACCTGCGATCACGGCTGCACCAAAAGAAAAGCTAAGATGGAGCAATGATTGCTTGAGCTTTCCATGCCCTGCCTCCTTTGCTAGCCTGGACGCTTCCTGCTATTCATGAAAGTAAACGCTTCAATGTCATGGCAGCTTGCTGACAAGCATCTCCATGCCTCCAAAACCCTCTGGACTGCGTCTTGAGGTGGTCTTGAAGGCCTGGGTCAGAGCGCAATGGCAGGACAAGCCCTTGGCGATCTGATGTTTATTAAAATTTTAAAAAGGGAGGATTGTGTCTCTGGGAGCCCTGCTCAACCTTCTTGGTCTCGGGCTTGGAGAGACAATGCTTGAGGCCTGGCGAGGCAGTTTTGTGAACCTGTCTGCTGTGCTGCATGCCAGTTCTGTACTACTCATAGAGACGATGGTACTCTTGACACTCAAAAGCAAATGCTTTTTGCAGCCTGGCTTCACTTGTGATTTTGCTGCTGTCTTCACTGCGGCAGTTCTGCGTGGCCTTTCTATCCTAAAGGTCGGTGGCATCGATGACATCATTTGCTCATCATAACGCAGCACAATCCTTTGATGGTTCTTGTCAAGACTTGCAAGAAGGTGGCACATGTCCTTGGCTGATGCAGCTCCGATTCCTCCGAGGCTATGAGCTCGGATGTCCTCCCTCGCGTCTCTTTCGAGTCTTTCGGGCGCACCCTCCGTTCAATAGCTGCCTTTGGCGACTCCTCACATTCGCATGGGTCGCTTTTTGCTCTTTCTTGTGCAATTCCTACAAATGTCAAGCCTCCGTATGGATTGGCTATACTACCAACAACCTCAAAAGCGATTCTAACAATGCGAAAACAGTACTATATACTATAACCCAACCCCCTCCTGCACCAGAATGGGATCCTGCAGCTTCATGGGTGCAATTTGTGCAATCTCCTTCACAGCTAATCTGTAGTTGCATCAGGGATCGGAAAGTGGCTGAAGGTTTCGAACTTTGGGAACCGCAGGATATTCCGACAAACTAGTTTCCAAAACCAACTGCACAACCCAAGCACGAAGAAGGGTTCCTCGATGATCTTCCCTGCTTTCACAGCAGTTGCAGAAGACCTGCCAACGTTAATGTAGTGGTTCAAGGTCTCGCGCACCTCTTCCAACGGCCTAAAATCAAAAACGAAGAACGGGCAGAACTGGTGATTCGGCATAGTGTGGCGTTTCAGCGCTGTGACCAAGAGCGACGCCCGTCTAACGAGAGTTCAAGCGTTGCGGAAGGAGCCTCCTCTGCACACCTGATATGTTTTGAACCAACGGGTTGTAGAGGAGCCTCCTCTGCCGGATCTGTCGTTGGCAAACCCGGGGTCTGGACACACAGCCAAGCTCTAGAAGTCGGACGACATCCAAAGAAAGCACTGCCTGCACCTTACAATCTGAAAAGCAAAAAAAAACAATGTTTGTGAATTGTAACGCGTAGCAATGAACTGTTGGACTTGGTGGAAGCCTCAAACCTCTCTGTGAAGGAGGCAGCAGGATCACTGTCTGCCTAGCAAGATCTTTGAAAGGCTCCGGCATCCAATCTGCAAAGCTACAAATAAGCCCAGTCGAGAATCCCCAACAGCTGGGCATGAATTCGCCTACTCGGCAACGGCAACATGGTAAATTCACTACAGGGTGTCCATCCAAAACGGTGCAAAACCTGCAAAACCAACATATTAACCTGAGAAGGGGGGAACGAAAGCCAACAGCCGCCAGACGAGAGGGTCAAAAGAAGAAACCATCAAAGTAACACATGCTTACTAGGACGATGGCAGGCACTGTATGCTTCAACATGAGTGTCACCAAGCGTCATCCTAAAATATTGCATAGATCCGTGGCTATAACAAGTCCTTAAACAACACCAATCTCTTCACCCCACGAAGTTGCTATCTACACGGGCCCCTTTTCTGATAGCAACTTGTCGCTGCCAACCAACTACTATACTTGCCCCAGTACATCTAACCAGACTTCTCTGAAAGGATGACTAGGAGGATGGCAGGAACTATATGCCTCAGCATTGGTGTCACCACCCGTCATCCAAAAATATTCCACAGATCCGTGACTATAACCCATCCTCAAACAGCAATCTCTTCACCCCACCAAGTTGCTATCTACACGGGCCCCTTTTCTGATAGGCACTCGTCGCTGCCAACCAACTACCATACTGGCCCCAATACATCCAACCAGACTTCTCAAGTATAGTAGAGACTAGGATGGTTGCTCTGTACATGGATGCCTGTCTCCACTCCAGTGCTCAATGCCCATTGTGCAAATAGCCTCCACAGCCCTTCGTGATGCTAATGATGCACTACTCGGCGTCCATTGCATCACTCGCATCACCCGACCCCATTTTCACTGCTTTTCTGACCCTCGCTTTGGAGCGCTCTATCCAGGCAAGCTCCGGGTTCACCCTCTCAAATGGTGCCTTTTCGCCTCCTACCCCCCCCACACCCCCTTAACTCACTTCGTTCGGTCTAAAAGCTCAAGCCTAGCCTATCGGCTGGCTTTCGTAATATTGTATATATCTATATGTGTTTAAAAATATTGTAGAAAAATTCTAATTCTAGTGGTTCGAACTGTTTTGGCATTCGCTGGTGGCGGAACCATGGAAACTGTTGGAAAATGCAAGAATTGAAAGGGAAGGGAAAAGGAGAGAGGGGAAAAGGTGAAGGGAGACGGAGAAGAGAGAAAGTGTCCAAAAGGGAAAGTGGACAAAGGAAGGAGAACGTGCAAAACCACCTCCCCGCCCCAAGCCCAGAATCATCAACATAAAAAGCAACTGTTCTTATATTTGTCACATTCGACATTCAATCCATGTTCAAACCACGCGTCAAGCCATATCAAAACCATATGGTGGAAAACTAAGATTTGAAAAGCACCCTTACAACCATATTGTTTCGTGCCCTTTTTTGTACTTGAATTATAAATACTTTTATATATATATAAATATCATAACCTTCCAAAGACAACTGCATTCAAGTTTTTTTCCTAGATGGAAAGTATGCTTGAAAAGCAATCAAGAAGCTTTGAGGCCACTTATGGTATGCTGGTGCCAAATGATTGGAATTGCCAGTCCAATTTCCAAAAGCTTTGCGGTGAATGTAGCGAGGAGTCTTGCGTAGCATGTTTTGCCTCAAGCAAATGGATTGAAACCAAGCCTGCGACCGCAAATCCAAGAGTTGGAAACACTCCCACGGAAGCTCCTGCGGTAGCTGTGGAATCGTTTCAGTCCCTTTGTGCTGGTTATCATCTGAAACATCCAAATACTATATATTGTGAACTTTCTTTTGGTCCAGAAAAGGGCTGCAGTACTTCACGCTGCAATGTGAAATGCTCATGATGCAAAATACAGTAGCTATGGTTCCTATTACAATGCTTCACACTCCTTCTTGATAGTGTGAGCGATCTAATCGCTACTTCGAGCTTACTCTGCCACTGTAGCCCTTTCTCTTTCATCACGTTCTTGAAATTTTTCTTCTCTCTAAGGAACGGGGTTCCCAGAGATCGTTGGTGTTGGTCGTGGCTTATCTGGGTTGTCTCTCCTCATAACTGCACCTTCTAGCAATTCTTGATACTTCTCTATTTCCTTTTTCAACTTGATCTGCCGCCTCTTCCTAATAGGTTGCACTCTCTTTCCATGAGTTGCTTAAGCTTTCCTTCCATTCGACCACACATTTGGCTTGCCCGCTCTACCTCATACTCTTCTCTGATTGATAGCTCTCTATTTCTTGGTTTGAAGGCTTTTGTCAATGGTCCTTCTGAAGGTACTGCTCTCTGATTGGCTGCTTCTAGCTAGCACCACTCTATGACCTTCATACTGTCCTTCTGTTGATCTCACGTCTTCCAAGTTCCTTCTTGCTAAGAAGTTTCCTGCGTTGATTTCTCCCATCATGTCATAGGTGATTGTAGTTTGTCTGTTTGGTGTTTCTTTCTCTACAAAGCCTCCATTGAGAATCAAACCACAAAGAGTTCTCCTGGCATAATCTCTGAGTACGTCTATCTGACTGATGTCCATCATCTTCACAACCTCTGAGAATACTCTCAAACTCTATGAGTGTAATTTCTGCTTGATAAATAGCTGCGCTTCACTGTGCCCAATACCCAATGAGGTTCATCAAGTATCTGATTCCTTGTCCTCCAAGTGGTTTGGTATTGATGTCTGCCAGGTTGCTATTTGTTGGTGCTTGTACCATCTTGAAGCCTTTCCTGTTCATCCAAATGTCTCACTTTTCCAACTCCTCTCTTCATCACAAGTTGGCGCGCGCTCGAAGATCTGTGAAGATGTAATGGTCCACCTTTGCCCCAAGAGCAAATTCAAGAACTGAGCGAATATATAAGTAGATTCCATCTGACGCTGAAGAGACTATTGCACGCAACTCTGCTTCACATGAAGATAAGCGAATGATCTTCTGTGCCTGGCTGTTGAACAATGGACAACTGCTCAATGCATGGAATCCTCCTGGCTTTGCTTTCCTGCGGCTTTTGTTTCCAATCTGAGTCTGTAACATGTTGCCACACCCTTGCCTTTCTGGTCTTTACTTTTACCTTTGCCATTGGGACCACCTTCCTTTCCTTTCTGATCTCCTTCCTTTTCCTTTGTTTCCATTGCCTTTGGCATCTTTACCCTTGCCCTTTTGATGGTCATTCTTGCCCTTCTTGCCTTTGCCTTTGGCATCAGACTCGATCAATGTCCATTGGCATGGCTCCTTGGTAGTCTGTACTGCTACTTGCCACCATGGAAGTAGCCCACTTCTGCTGGGAACGATCCCATTGCAACACTTGCTCCCTCAAAGTTGAATATTGAACACTGTCGCCAATTGTCAAATTCAAGTATGATTCAATAGAATAGCAGATTTCAGCTCTTCCTGAATTGTAGTCCCTGCCTTGACCAAGTTGAGGTTGTAGTGCACTTTCCTGCTGGCCATGTAGTGGCTGCTCCCAAGAGTGCCAATCCTCTACTCTAGCCTTTGAAGTAGGTTTCAAAGCTTTGTTCAAACTCGTTCAGGCATCAAATCCATTGGAGTCCTCCACATCTTTCACCAATGGCAGTGCTCATCCCCTCAGCAGTGAAGCTGACAATCCAAAAAGCTTGATGCACCTGGTCATTTCTCTGGAATTGTCAAATCCGAATCGAAGCTCTCAGTTGGCTTTGCATGAGTTTCCTTCAAGTCTCATGTAGCCCTCTTTTCTCAAAAACCCATGACCGCTCTCTAAATGCCTTTATCTCTTCTTCCTGTGACTTATAGTCAAAGATGTTGGGCTTTGCTATCAGTTTTGACCAATCAGTTGTTGATGACTTCTTGTCTTCAACTGCTTTCTTCACTGCCTCAGCTGCTGGTGTTGTTGCCGGCGTACTGTGCTATAGTTTGAAGGATTTCTCTGATCTCCTCCATCTCCACTGCGCACTAATGTCTTTCTGGGACAACGTATGGGGTACAGAGTGTCGCTCACAACAATTTCTCACCAGTCCAGCTGTTTGGGTTCCAAAGGCCCCAAGTCTATGGCTCTAATCGCAGTGACCTAGGGGCTTTTCTTCCTGGAGCTCAAAGGGGGTTGCCCTTATCCTTGCTCCGCTACCATGCGAACTTTCTTTTCATCCAGAAAAGGGCCGCAGTACTTCATGCTGCAATGTGAAATGCTCATGATGCAAAATACAGTAGCTATGGTTCCTATTGAACATGCTTCATCTGTATTTATATATATATCGAGAGAAAGAGAGAGAGAGAGAGAGATAAATCACTTTGAAGTGTCAAAATTGTGTTGAAATGTAGTCTGCAAGACTCTCAGTGCAACTCATGAGCTCCAGGTATGGCTCCACTTCGCTTTCTTGGTGCAATCCAATGCAATGTGACCTTTGAAAACAAACAGCTATTTGCAATTAATAATGCAATCACTGCAACTTTGAGAGTCCTGACATGTTCGTGGTTCAACAAAAGGAATCTTTGAGTTGTAGGCGTCAAGACTGCAGTCCCCATCTCACCTTCGTACTGCCCCTGGCTTGACACAGCAAAGCAAGCACACATTGGTGAGTCACTGTTGACTGCAAGTCTGCAAGGTGACTCATTCCTAATAGACTCTCTGCTATATATACCGAGGTTTCAAGGCCTTAGCCACAAAAGTGAGAGCAACTGGAGGCGAAGCACACATGTCAAGGGCAAGGCCCCTTGCATCTGCCTCACATTGGCATTTGACAAAAGCCGCATGTTTCCTTTAGAAGAAATGTGTAGGTTCTGTCCCATCGCCCAAATGTCGCTATCAACATCTTCTACATCTTTCCAAGATGTCAATTTGTGTTCATCATTTCAACATTTGTCTAAGTATCCTACAAAAAAAGAGTTCCGCTTCTGCAAAGAAAAATCACCCTCAGACTCCCACCAGCAATTGATCCGGAGACAGCTGTTGCAGCTTTGAACAAAGACCAGACTGTGCAAAGCAAACAAGTGCGTAAACATCCCAGCAGGATGCAGCAGGTGTTTCCATTCTACATGCATAAGACGTTCTGATACTGCCTGGCGCTCTTCAAGACAAATCAAAGCCTCACACACCGTTGAGAACTGGCCGCAAACCAAGCAGACACGCTTGAAAACAAAGTGTGCAGTGTGCAAACTCAATGAATCCAACGGCAAGGTTTTGCTCCAGGAATTGCATCGTGCTGATCAATCCAATTCGTAGTTTCTTGGATGCCCACCGGGTGCGCTGATGCCAAAGATGACAAAGCAGCTCCGGGCGCCACACGCCGCAAACCACGCCAAAGTAACTCCAAGAAAGCCTCAGGCGCAATCATGGGTAGCCGCGTATCCTACCACATAGCCTACTGCGTAGTCCCTGCAATTCTGCTGTCCACAACACTCGTATGTCTTTTCAAGTCCATCACAACAAGTGATAATCAGTTGTCAACACGAATGTCCAAACTGTGCATGGATATTGCAACATGCTGTATACAATGTGCCTACTGCTTACAGTAAATCCGACTGGCAAACTCGAGTGCAAGGATCACGGCCTCATTTAGTCGGGGATCTGGGTGGAGCCCAAGCCTGCAAGAAAGCTTGTCCAGTTCATCTTTTGGCTGCCAAGGTCGAGAACAACAGTCAAAGTGAACATCCCCAAAGGATTCCATAGTGGGAACTGCAAAGGTGTAACCTGCAAGAATTCCTGAGGCCAAAACCAAGAAAAAAGGGGGGGCTCCTATCAAGTGCAACTAGCTACGAAGTTCACTTCAACAAGAACGGGTGCGTGAAAAAACTGTGAAGGGTGCTCTCCAAAGCCAAAGCAATTTGGTCTTGGCTCACAGAGTGAAACCAAATACCAAAACGTGGCATGGAAAGGAAAACTGTTTACCTTGGAGAAAATCCCTTTGGTAGGCAAGGTCGTATCGGACAAGTCCGCAACTGGCCTAAGTAGCCTTGCGGCAAGTAAGTAGCTTTGCTCGTAGCTCGCTGTTTCACTTCGCTCTCTTGCTCAGTCGCAAGCAAAGCTTCGGAAAGGGATTGCATTGAAGCTGTCAAAGACGAGTCCCGCAGAAGTGAAGCCTTAGTACTGGTAGGGCTCGAAAAGGGCCCCTGGTAAACAATGTAATGCACAAGTGCTCGCACACCAAAGTGAGAGCTCCTTGCCTCACAAGACTGGCGCAAGTCAGGCACAGATGCTTCCAACAAAGCCTTCAGTCCAGACAAACTAACTAGCATGCAACCCAAAGGCAACAGCCCAGGCATAGAAGCAATTACCTGCTTTAACTCTAGAATGTTGTTACATTGTTGCAGTTAACAAAGCTTTACACGGGTACTCTATCACTAAGCTTCTAGCAGCCAGCAACTCAGAAGCTGCTCGGCAGGCCTCAAATGCAAACGGCAACAAAGGATCCAGAACGCAACGCATTGCGCAGCGAATTGGTCCAGTTCTAGGCTGCAACTCGAAGCGTCGCAAAGCCTCCCAAGCCTGCTTAACTGGACGAAGGATAAACGAACATGTTCGTTTACAGAAAGATGTTCGTTTACAGAAAGTTGGAAATCTGTGGATGCTTCCGGTTGCTTTCAGTGCTCTTCAGTTGGTTTCTGTTGTGGCCGTGGAATGAAGATTCACTTGCATCTTCTTGGAAATTCCTGCATTTTCCCATGGTGCGGGAAACAGGCTCCTTTATTAGGTGTTTGATTTTCGAGGGCGTTGCTTCTTCTGTTTCTTTGAAACTGTACTGCTACTAGACCTTATTTATTGTAGTTTCCCCACGCCCCTTGCCTGGTATAGTGCGGCTGACTGCAGCAGCTCGTAGCAGCAGCCCGAGTACACCAGACATGCCTGAGAACTTGTAAATCGAAATATACTAACATGTACTTCTAGACTTGGAGAAACTTCGAGCAATCGGGAGAGAAAAATGCATGTTTTTAAGGAATATAGACTTGACAAACGAAGGAATACAGTCGTCAGCAGCAGACTTAGCAAGTCATCCGCAGCTCCTGGAGGCCATACCTCCAAAAACAAGTCTTGTGTTTTTGGTGTTTGTTGCCCGCTTCCCCCCCCGCCAAGCTATTCGCTGCTACTGTAGCCTAAGTTAGCTTCTAGACATGGACGCAGGAGGATAGATCACGCTAGTGATTTGATTCCTAGATTCTTAGGAAAACCTAACAAGTCTAGGTTTGGCCAAGAGGAGGTCTTTGCAGTGTTGGAACATTGCGGTGTCAGAAACCCTCAACAGTGAGGCAAGGCGGGACCTTGCCTCCGGCAACATGGCTGTGCATGCTGCAGCAGTTGCAAGAGCTAGTTCTTGCGAAGGGCCCCGCGCCACACCTAGAAATTGATTCTGGCAAAATTGCGAAACTCCGCACAATGAGCAAAAGAGCTCGTACTACGCATGTCATGCTGTTGCACACCAGCATGCAGGAATCCTGTCCAAACCAAATGGAAGGCAACCACTCGAGGCTAACTGAAAAAAACTTCATCAGTCGCTAAAGCTTCCAAGCTCCACGCGTGCAGAAAATGCCGCCAGCATTTTCAATAACCCTGCTCTGGCCTCTTGTACAAAAGTCAAATACCTTGTCAGACTCTTCTTGCTTGGGAAAAACCTGAGACTGAAGCCGACGAGGCAGCAACCCAAAGGGCATCAGCTTGCACTGATGATGAACCTGCTAAAACTTACAATGACGGATTGCCCTAGAGTCTAGAGGATCGTTGTCCGCCTTCGCGTTCTAGCACTGAGTGTCTATAGTGATTGGAAGCGTCTGCAGCCTTGGCACAGAGCAATATCATTGAAAATAAAGCAAGTTGACTCGCCGATTCATGGCCCACAACTGGGCAGGCAACTGCACACACGGCATGCCCCTTGAACAAGGCGACAAACATCGAACTCAGGATTTTATTCAATGAATTCTGTTGGTCAAAGGTCATGTCCTTAAAGTAATGATAGAGTTCTGGCACCTGTTGAAACTCTGAGGTGCCGAACTCAATTGGGCCGCTAGTTATGTTTCTTTGTCCTTACACTTGTGTAACCACCACTCTTGAATTACTACCACCTATATAAAATCCTTGCCTTGACCTGCAGTAACCAATCATTTGAAGGCAAACATGCATTTGTAGAATCTGTGCCTAAACGTGTTCTGGTCCTCAAATTTGGTACTACCATGAGGCCGGGCTATCAAAAAGAAAATATATATAGAAAAAAAAATCTATATCCTATCAAAAAGAAAGTTAGTTTGTATCAAAAACAAAATATCTCTCACAAAGAGCTGTGCCTGCCACTGCAAACCGCCTTGGCAGCGCTGCGCGATGTGAATCTGGATGTGCAAATTTCGTGGCACGCGCAGCACTTTGAGCATCTCCAGTAGCAGACTTCGTGGCAGGAGCAGCACTTTGTGCACTGGAACTGCAGATTTCGTGGCAGGCGCAGCACATTGAGCACCTCCACTAGCAGATTTCGTGGCAGGAGCGGCACTTTGCGCACTGGAACTGCAGATTTCGTGGCAGGCGCAGCACTTTGAGCACCTCCAGTAGCAGGTTTCGTGGCAGGAGCGGCACTTTGTGCATTGGAAGTGCAGATTTCGTGGCAAGCACTGCACTTTGAGCACCTCCAGTAGCAGGTTTCGTGGCAGGAGCGGCACTTTGTACGCAGCACTTTGGTGGCAGGCGCTGCACTTTGTGCACTGGAACTGCAGATTTCATGGCAGGTGCAGCAACCTCGCAAGGCTAACAAAAGGTCTGCAACGTTGGAATGGTTCCTTCCTCTTCAAAATTTTGCCCTCACAATTTCTCACAAAAGGTTTGCTACCTGGGAATGGCACTTTCTTCGTCTAAATTTTACCGTCAGGGTGGCTCACAGAAAAGGTCTGCTACGTCTGGCGATAAAAGGTCTGCTACGGTGCTTCACAGGATGTATGGCCAGAATTCCAAATCACCTTGAACGCGTCTTGCCTCGAAAGTACAGACCCAAGGACCCGAAGACCAGGACGAAGGACCAAAGGACCAGAGGACCAAAGCCAGCAGACCAGGACCAAAGGAGTAGGGGGAATTTTATTTTTGATACGAATTAATGTTTTTTTGATAGGAATCAATTTTCTTTTTGATAGGAATCAATTTTCTTTTTGACCCAACATAATTTTCTGAACCCCTGGACCAACGAGCACCTTTGATTTCCTGAGGCATGTTTGTCTCTTTCTAGAATCCTGGAGGAAGGTAGAATACAAAGAAATCAAGATATTTCGCCAGAGCTGAGTTCTCACATTGAATATGGGATTATCAACTGGGTATCAAGCCTAAGGATCAAGCTGCAACTGCCAACGAAACCGCTGCACTTTGAGCATCCCCCCAGCGCCCTTGCAAGCACGCATGACCTTGGCATTGATTGCCCTACCCAGTCAAGCTGTGAAACCTTTGGCAGGCCCAATGAAACTCCCGTTGAGTTTGGTAGATACCCTATATACATGTGGGTGTCATGCTCCTTTTAGTGGATACTTGCTTTGGATAGCTACCAGTAGCTGCGCAATCAAATCTAAGGTTAATTCAAAAATTCCCATTGAACAACTCACCGCCAGCAAAACAACAAGCAATATAAGTCGAAACTCAAACAGGAACTTGGTGCACACTGCACTTTGAGGATTGAACGAAATGCTGTGGCCGATGACAGGATTGCCTCAAGCATACGATGGCAAATTCCAAGTCATGACAAACCAATTCGGTTCACCAGCTGCAGAAACCTCGTGACTGTCCATGCAGGCTTCATTTGTCGGCCCCATTTGTGCAAACAGCCTTGTGAAAAGATTAAATTACATGATACTGACATGACAGACACCCAAAAGTTGGCTGGGATGTGAAGAGCCACGGTCATAATACTACAAATCACACTGACAATGCTTCAAGCATCAGCATGTGTTCATGCGATTTGTAAAGAAATATATAAACCTTCGAAGACAAATCGAATAGGTTGTCATGCGGTCGTTTCTCAACAGCTGCATTGTTGAAGTTAAATTGCATTGCCAACAACTTCATGATTGCGGCTTGAACAGGGGCTGCAGATTCATGCGACGCGGTTCACGCCACTGCCTCGAGGCGTAGAGGCTAACAACCTTGACCAAAGGTTCATGCCTTGCATTGCACTGTTGCATATAAACTGTCATTCCTTTCAAAACGAACACTGGATCAATGGAACCTTCGAAGAAAGCAGAACAACAAGACTGTTTTTGGGACACGCCCAACCTGATTAGGTGGTTCCTCCGGGTTGAGGTGGCGGCGTCTTTAAGGACCACAATGATATTTTTCTTAGTCTGAAAATTGTCCATTTTGTCCTGGCTACCAAGGCGGTCCAAATCAAATTGAACACACAAAGAAGTATCGTTCGACACAAACATATCTATTGACAGGGCGCAAAAATGGAAAACACTGTGGCACGATGGAAGATTGTGCCACGCGTATTTCAGCATCCATCAGTTTTTGTAGTGAAGTTGGCCACAACACAGAGCTGCAAGATGTTTGAACTCCAAATCATGGCATTGAATGCATACGTTGGTGAGCTGCTGAATGCCACTGTTTGATCCACAAACATGTTTTTCAACCCGAAACAGTTTTTAGAGTCAGCATCAAGCTCAACAAGCACCCATTATGAAAATGTTTTTCGAACTGGACTCAGACAAGTAAAATTGTTTGGTAACACGCTGTTATTGAACCCACACGCGCTGCGAATGCGGAGTTGTTTCAACTACCAAACTGCGCACCTCAGCACAACTAAATAGCTGTACACCTCATGGAGTGTGCATACACGAAAATGTTTTACACCCCGCCTCAAATCGAGACGTGCAAGTTAAGATTTGTATTGGACACCACCATGTTAAAGGTGATCACGGACAAAGTCCGTCCAGTGCTTTACATGCTATCCGGCATCTAAACTGTTATTTCCACAGTAGATGTTGCTGACTCAATATACCCCGTTGTACTGAACTGGGACCTAGGGTCTGTACAGGTTTTTTTGGGGTATTGACCCATTCTCAACCAGATCACGTGGATATATTTGAGGGCTGAGGTTCAAAGTCACTTAAAAAGAACACGTCAACATTGAAAATTGACAGTTTTGAAAAGCCTGACGTCCAAATGGTCCCATCCCAGGCCCAACTTGCCAGGTTGATCAATGTGTTGGCACATGTCAGGCAAATGACGACATGTACGAAAACAAGGAAGTGTCAAAAAAGTTGGGCGTTGTTTCAAGCGCGCAACAAAAGAGTGCTGTTGCAAGTGCTTGTTCAAGATCAAGCCCAATTGGCGATCCCAAGCACAGCAAGACTACAAGAAGGCGCAATGGATACAAGTCGATGAGAACGCCATCGGAGCAATTGTCCAAGAAGAAGAAGAAGAAGGACAAGGATGAGGCACACACGCACAGACACACGGAGGCCAGAGCGGATAGACGAGCTTGAGACCTCAGACACCTTGAGCCGCCCCCAGCGGGAAGCGGAGCCCAGCGGAGCCCACACTTTACTTGGAAAAACACAAGGAGCCCACGCAGAGCCCACCCAAAACCCCGTAATTGTTGAAAAACACGCAGCGGAACCCAGCGGAGCCCACACTTTGCTTGGAAAAAAACAGGGGCCCACGCGGAGCCCACCTAAAACCTTGTAATTGTTGCAAACACGAAGCGGAGCCCAGCGGAGCCCACCACCTTACTTGGAAAAAACACGGGAACCCAATCATTTCACCCATTGGGAAATATATGAATATCGATTAAACATGTTGGAAGGAAACAGGCCCTTTGTGAGATTTCGGATTCAGTTGGCTTTTGAAATAATACTGGCTGACAAAGTATTTTGCACCGCCTGTCGTCCTGAGGGTGCCAAGCCGAGTTGCACCAACAAACCGACACACTGACCAACAAACCAACCAACTAATTAGCCAAACAACGACCAACGCAAAACCAAGCAACCAAGAAACTAAGCAACCGAGCAACTAAGCAACAAACAAACAAACAAACCAACCAACCAACCAACGAACCAACAAACCCACAAACTAACTAACCAACTGCGACCAACCAACCAACCAACCAACCGACCGACCGACCGACCGACCGACCGACCGAACGAACGAACGAACGAACAAACGAACGAACAACGATCAATCAAACAAACAAACAAGCAAGCAAGCAAGCAAACAAACAAACAAACAACCAACCAACCAACAAACAAACAAACAATCAACAAACAAACAAACAAACAAACAAAACCAAACAAAACCCAACCCAACCCAAACCCAACCCAGCCCAACCCCAACCCCACCCCCACCCCCACCCCACCCCCCAACCACCCCCCCCACCACCCCCACACCCACCCCCAACCCCAAACCCAAACCCAAACCCAAAACCAAAACCAAAACAAAAACAAACCAAAACAAACCAAACCAAAACAAAACAAAACAAAACCAAAAAAACAAAAACAAAACAAAACAAACTAACAAACAAACAACCAAACAACCAATCAATCTACCAATCAAACAGTCAACCAATCAATCAAGCAACCAAGCACACAAACAAACAAACAAACCAACCAACCAACCAACCAAACCAAACCAAACCAAACCAAACCAAACCAACAGACAAACAATCAAAAAAAAACAAACCAACCGAAACAAACAAACACACAAACCAACCAACCAACCAACCAACCAAAACAAACAAACAAACCAAAACAAACAAACAAACAAACAAACCAATAAAAAAGAAAACCAAAACAAAACAAAACAAACAAACAAACAAACACACAAACAAACAAACAAACAAACAAGCAAGCAAGCAAACAAACAAACAAACAAACAAGCAGACAAACAGACAAACAAACAAACAAACAAACCAACAAACCAACGCAAAAGCTGGCTCGATTCAAAGACCCAAAAAGGGACCCAGAAACATGTCCAAAACTGGAGACGTCCACGAAAGAGCCTCCCCAGTAGGCTAGTCAATCTAGGTTTGTTCTCTGTCTTTTCGCGGTTTTCCGGTTTCATGTTTCGTCATCTCATCCTTTTCTCTCATGGCCATGCAGTGTGGGCCGCATCAAGTCGATTCCTCGAAATGGTATTTGGTTGGCAACCTGCAAACGGAACCAGGCGAGCGTAAGGAAGTTCTCAGCGACACTGGAGCCACCAAGAGCCGCAGACATGTCCATCAGTCAAGCCCTCTGCTGCCACGATCCAGCTCCCTGAGCCAAAGTCACAGTCGGTTCAGACTGTCTCAAAGCTTCTCCAAGCTTGTCAAACTCTTCTTTAAAGAGTCAAGACTGTTCACGGTCATCTCAAACCTGCACAAAACTGAAGACAGTCTCCAACTACACGTCTAGCCATACCAAACCTTCTAAAAGGTCAACCTGCCAAGTTGGACAAAGCAAAACACCAACAAAGGACCACAGACCAAAGTCAGCTCCAACCCCAAGTCATCAAAAACAAAAAACTACCCAGAAACAAGCACTAGGTGATCCACACCCTGACACACTGGCTACGCACTTTCTTTCACACCCCTTTTTGGGTCACTAAGCGCCGCCTTCTGTCACTCTTCTCCTTCTCTTCCTCTTTTTCGTTTCCTGTGGGCAACTAAGGCCAGACGACAACCAAGATCCATACTCCTGTCCTCGATGAAAGTGATCTCAACGTCGATCAAACGTCATCAACCAAGAAGTAAACTTGCACCCAGACCGTTGGCTGAACTGGGTGACTTTGTGGGCAGGCCCAATCACCGAACCAAGTCTCTTGAAGACCGCAATTGAGAAACTTGGCGGCCTTGAGCGACGGCTGTTTATGGCCTTCCCAGCCACATCTTGCCTCCCGCTGAGGTGGTCAAAGAGAAAACATCAAAAGGACAAAGATCTCCACACCAAGCACATGAAAGGAAAATCACATGAAGAAACAGGCACTAGGTGATCCACACCCTGCGCAAACAGCCTGCGCGCCATGTTTCACAATCCTCAGTTAAATGCTGGTGGCGGGTTCAAAAACTTGGAAGAGCATGTCAACCAGCAGTTCCAGCTTTGGGGATGAATTTCACGTAGACCCTGGCGGCGACAAAAGCTCTTCAATGTCGAGAAAGGTGGCTTCTGGGGCGGATCAGATGTTTTTTTGCGCGCATGGGGCTGCCCCAATCGCAAGAGCAGCGGTTGTAGAGATTAAGATTTCCTGCAAAAAAAACATGAAGGCCATCCTGCAAGAACTCTTGAATGCTCCATTGAAGCAGACGATACACTGAGGCTGCATCATCTGCAGCAAAATGACAGCGCTAGCAAGCCCTTCCTGACTGTCAGTTCGATCAAAGACGGCTGCAAGGTCGAAAGGTGTGCGTGAAGACCTTTACATTGCATTTAGCACGCGATTGACAAGACGAAACAGCAATGGAAAAAAACTGCACATCTCCACAGAGCTGGCCAGCGCTTCTTTAGTTGTGTTCCTGGCCACTCTTGGTCACCTTCCACCTTCTCCTGCCAAGAAGGTCAAGAGAACACATCCAAAAGAGGAAGATCCCTCAGTCAGGGTCAGATCCCATCTGCATGGCCTTAAGTGTCTCATCATCGGAATCCTCGAAAGCAAAGCTTTCAAGCACAAACACACCTGTCAGCTTTGGACGCAAAAAGATCATGTGGAGTCACCCACAGTATCCACAACACCTGACAAGTACACAAAGTTGCAGCAACCAAAAGCTGAAACTTGCAATGAACTGAGCTGCAACCCTGATCTAGAATTGTACTCTCTTGCGCTTGTCTCTCCAATCCTGATCACGGCGATTCCTCAAGATTCAACAATGCT